CCGAAACATACCAAGATGATATATGGCCAAAGTCATTCATCAATTGTCATATGCAGTATGTAAGATTTTGAAGAAAAAATATTGGATTTGTTTGGAAAGATTGTTATATTTTGGCAATAAACTGAATGTAAACGACTTAAGAACTCCTCACTTCTTAAGCGCATTCTTGTTCCACTTCCGTTTACTATTTCAATGTGTCATTTTACGAGAGCTTTTCATGAAGGGCTATATATATCGAATATGAATCTTAAGATGAAAAAATAGCAGCTTGAAATCGGAAACAAAACACAACTCTGTATGTCAGGGTGTTATTGTGGAATTTAATAAGTTGATCATTGACCGCACACATTGTCACATTTACTGCATAGAAATAGATCTAACTTAGCTTGATAACAAAGGAAACTCATCGTATCATATTTCTGAAGAGGAAAATCTAGCTAATCATGCTTCAGAATTACAACTATTCAGATAACGATAAGGATACGGACCTCCTTTTTTATATTGGATACGCAACCGAACAAGAATCCAAATTAACAGCTGTTTACTGTTCATTCGTATTAATATATATATATATTCGTCGAGTTCAGTGGCAGATTCTTTCAACTGTTTTTTTTGACATACCCAGAGAAACACAACATGTCCTGCATGCATTGGTCTTGTTACGTGGCTGAGATTTTCGACGCGCTTATCAAGAGACGTTGTCAGTCCTTAAATTTCACTTTTTATTATTTTTTTGTAATGCATTGGTCTCATTAAAATACATGTTTTAATTTCTTGTGCAAAACGGACGGCTTCTGTCGACGAAACAGAAGACACTTAAAAGTTCCGAAATATTGTCTTAATCACTGTTAATACATTCCTTTTGATCATTTTCACCATCGTGACATTCATAGTAGGCATAACGGACAGACTTTTGCAGGCAAGTACAACACACAAGCGCAATATAGTACATTTACATCTGACTTGTGTAATGACCATAAATGACATAAAAAGAAACCTATCTGTTAAGATTATTAATCGATTTCAGCTTTCCATTAAATGCAATGTTCGTCACGGACAGTGCTATATCCCTAATATAGCAATCACTCATTTTGACAGTGTATCGTTGTTGCCTGTATGACAAAATTAATAAAGAAAAACAAGTTCCCGTTCATGTGGAGACTGACTAATGTCATAAGGTATTACTATGATGTTTACTAATCGCAGCTGATTCGATATTCATCGGCCCGTTTCCATCGGGCGATGGCGTAATTTGAGAAGGGATATGTCACATTTCTATGCGCGCGCACGTGCCTATAAATTATAGGTTTGTGTGTAATACGAGAAAAGCAAGCATGCACACACCAGTATTGTAGTGTCTGTGTATTGGAACTCAATTATTGTAAGGGAGATAACTCGGTTAGGTTTACAGGGTTTGTATTGATGTACTGTGTACCAATGCATTGTGGGATAGATAATAAAGACCGGAAGTGTGAAGACCAGCATGGTTGTTGAGCTGTCTGTTGAATCAGGAGACAAACTGTTTAATCAGGATGCGAATCTTGCAACGAAGCAGGTATAAATACACTACAAATTATTGGCGACGAGGCTAAAACATTATTTCGTCACGATGGCTGCAAATATCCCCGATTTATATGGTATTCCCCAGTTTGATGTTTCGGACATAAACACGCTAGGTTACAGGTGGACGAAATGGTTACGTTCATTTAATCTGTATGCAACGGGGAAGGGAGTAAACAATGCTGAACAGAAAAAAAGCCCTGATGTTACATTGTGCCGGTCCCAAAGTACAAGATATTTATTACTCGTTACCAGAGAGACAACCGGAAGGGGAGAATACTGTGTATACTGTGGCGAGAGACGATTTGACCGCTCATTTTAACCCACAGCTAATGAAGCTTTTGAACGTTCTGTGTTTCGTTCTATGAGTCAAGATCAGTCAGAAACAGTCGAACAGTACATTATTAGGTTACGTCAGAAGGCTGAATATTGTAACTTTCATGACGCTGATGAAATGATCCGTGATCAGTAATAGAGAAGTGTATTTCCAATCGCCTGTGGAGGAAAATGTTATAAACAACTAACGTCACATTACGGAGGTTAAGAGAAATTTCACAAGCGTTTTAAACATCACAAATACAAGTTAAGTCGATGGAAGCCGGAGAGACAGCAGAGACTAGTATCAATAAACTGTCAAAGACTAAACAGTATAGTAATAAAATGAGTCCTACGGAACGTCAGAACTATAGTACTGAACGTAAAACTGTTGTGTGTTATGCTTGTGGAGGAGAAGGGCATATAAAGAAAGATAAAAACTGTCCTGTAAAGGGAAAACGTGTAACAAATGTAAAAACGTTGGTCATTTTGCCAAATGTTGTCGCATCAAAGTCAAAAATGGTGGTAACAGTAACAAAGGTCGTCCGAAAGGTCAGTCGAAAGTGAGACAAATCAATACGAATAATGACGTCGAAAGTTCGAGTGAGGATGACACAGGTCGACATTGTGTTTTCAGTGGGAATTCAAATTCAGATGGTAAAGTACAGCTAACTGTTGGCGGTGTACAAGAGAAATTTATTATTGATTCAGGAGCTGGGGTCAACGTTATTGACAGGAAAACCTGGGAACACATGAAAAGTAAAAATGTCTTGTGTAAATCTCAGTCGCGTATGTCGGATAAAAAGTTGTATCCATATGGGAGTAAGGTACCCCTAAAGGTAGCTGGAACTTTTAAAGCCAGTATTCAGATGGATTCTATAAATGGAAATACAGAGGCGGAATTCTTTGTCGTCGAGGAAACAGGTCAGTCGTTATTAGGTCGCGATACAGCGATAGAGCTGGGAGTCATGAAACTAGGTCAATCAGTACCTGTAGACAATATCTCGGAACACAAAGCCATATATTTCCGTGATAAACATCCAAAATGTTTTGAGGGATTTGGAAAATTCATGACTCATAAAGGAATGTATCGATACAAACGGTTGATGTTTGGGGTCAGCTGTGCGCCAGAGATGTATAACAAAATAATCATGTAGATACTCGAGAACTGTGAAGGCGTTCACGGTATATTCGACGATATAATTGTTCATGGCGCGTCCGACAAGGAATACAATGATCGGATGGAAAGTGTTCTAGGTGTGCTTCAGGAGAAGGGCCTGACTTTTGTAGTGTCGGTAGCCGTGAATAAACTAAAGATGGCCCAGATTGCATCTACCCTGGAAACCATCACAAAACACCCTGGCTTCGTTCCCTCATCTTTACTATCATAACTGATGACGTTATACACAACAAGGGGAATAAATCCCAAGACAAACAGCATAACGCCTACATCCCTTTCCAAGTCAATTACTAAATAGTAATACAAAATTAACTTCCATTTCACTATCTGATGAAATGTCTAGTGACTGGAGTTACTATTAAATAAAATACTGAAATTATTGTAATCTTCATAAACATTTAACTTGCATTACAAGTCTCAAAGTTCCTAGGTGGTTTCAATTGTCACCTCATTTAAACTATAAGAAAAAGATTTAACTGTCATTGAAAAATTCCTAACTTTAAAGAACACTTTAGAATATACACAGTTCACACAAATTTCTTTGGCAACACAATTTCACGTTTGGGACGCGCGACCGTGCAACTTTGAGTACTGTCCAATTGTCCGTTCACAATTTTACTGTCCGCTACAACACTCGCGTTATCACCAGGTTTGCTTTCTGTTTCATACAAGTCTACAGAGTCATTGTCATAAGCTGCTGCGTTTGAAATGTACTTTTTCACATGTGTGCTTTTTCTTTTGTACCTGGTCCCCTCCGGTGATTCGACCACACAACTATTTCCACGTTTATCTACCAGTTTATATGGTTCCGGATAAAAGTCTGTGTCCACCTTGTCACGCACAGTTTGTTTTAACAGCACCCTGTCACCTGGTTGTAACGTATTATCACACGCCCCTCGTTTCGCGTCAATATACAGTTTGTTCTTCAACTTTACGACAGCATCTCTGTCCCTACTTCCCTCGTACTGATCTCGGCATTTTTCCAATGATTCAACCTGCGGTAACTTTGTCCGTAATTTCGTACCGAACATCAATTCTGCTGGCGACACACCAGTTACGGAGTGTGGAGTGCTGCGATACGCTAATAAGTATGTCCGGACGTCCGTTTTCCAAGTCCTAGGAGATTTCGAGAATGCAATTTTCACACGTTTCATTAACGACCGATTCTGTCTTTCTACTTCCCCGTTAGCTGCAGGATATAACGGTGTAACAAGTCTATGATGAATGTTGTTCGACTCTAAGTATTGCTTAAACTGACTGGCTCTGAACTGAGGGCCGTTGTCTGATGTAATCAATGATGGCAAGCCGTGGCGTGAAAACATATTCTCCAATGCCTCAATTATCCTATCACATGAAATGTCCTTTGTGATTTCAATCTCGTAGTACCTGCTGTAATAATCAACAACTACAATGATGTGATTTCCTCCCGGAAGCGGCCCCAGTAAATCTATGGCCAAGTCTTGCCAAGGCCCCGTGGGCATTTCTGTTGGCTTCAGCGGCTCTGGGTGTGGCTTTGACCCAACTATTTGACACTCATGGCACGACTTAACAAATTTCTCTGCATCTTTGTCCATGCCCGGCCACCATACTTTGCTACGTAACTGTTGCTTAGTAGCCACAATACCCAAATGTCCAATATGTGCTAATTCAACACATTTCTGTCGGAGTGCCTGTGGTATGACAATTCGCGTACCCCACAACAGAATGAACCTAATTTGTGACAGTTCGTGTCTAATGGGAAAGAAATTCACACATTCCTTGCCCCACTTATCATCCGATAAGCATTTCCGCAATTCACTGAGTTCGGGATCGACTTTCGACATTTCCTCGACTTCCCGAGTTGATAGTGCAACTGGAGTTGCTTCCCTCGTTTTGCAGTGCATTTCCCTCGGTTTCACCAGACACTAACCGAGACAGAGAGTCAGCAATGTTTCCAACCCCAGGTTCATACCGGACTGTACGGCATTAATTTCATAATCCATCTCTCAATCCTGGCATTCGGCTTAGATTTTGGTCCATATATTGCTTCCAATGGCTTAGGATCGGTCACTAAATCAAACGGAATTCCTACTAGATACAGCTTAAATTTGTCACAACCCCACACGACTGCTAATGCCTCTTTTTCGGTAGTGGGGTATCTACGCTCCACGTCTGACAGTGACCTGCTAGCATAACTGATCACTTTCGACTGGCCAGAAGAATCCTCTTGGATTAAAATAGCCGCTAATCCAACATTGTTAGCGTCCGTAACGACGGTTGTCTTCTTGGCGTTTAGACTGAAATGACCTAGCACACTAGCATTTGCTAAACAGTCCTTTAGCTTTTCAAAGCTCTCATGTTGTTTACGTCCCCAAACAAACGTAACGCTTTTCCTCACGAGCTTCCGTAACGGTTCTGATATCGTAGCGAGATCTGGTATGTAACGAGCACTGAAGTTCACAAGTCCCAAGAAGCTCCTGACTTCTTAAGCGGTTTTTGGCGCTGTCGCATTCAGTACAGCTTTTACACGCTCGGACGTTGGTCCGATACCACTGCCAGATATAATATGACCCATAAACTGAATTTTGTCAAGTCTTATCTAACACTTCTTGCGATTTAAAGTAAGTCTCTTTTCACGCATTCGTGACAGCACTCGTTCTAACCTCTGATCATGCTCCTCTTTTGTAGTACCATGCACGACAATGTCGTCCGATATACTCTCAACCCCCTCGATGTCATGGAAAATCTGAGAAATAATGTGCTGATACAATTCCGGTGCTGCGTTTATTCCGAACATCAACCGTTTGTATCGATATAATCCAGCATGTGTAACAAAAGTTGTAATGTCACGTGACTCGCTATCCAGCTCAATCTGATGGTAACCGTAACGCAAATCCAATTTGCTAAACACGGAACTTCAGTTCAACTTGTATAAAACTTCATCGATTGTCGGTATTGGGTGGCGTTCTCTAATCACTGCTTGATTAGCTTTGCGCATGTCTACACATAAACGTACATCAGAGTCGGGTTTTGGAACAACACTAACAGGGCTAATCCACTGACTGGGAGAATATACAGGTTCAATTATGTCCAAGCTTTCTAACTCCTCAATTTTCTTGGTCACCTTTTCACGTAAACTATACGGAACACCATACATTCGTTGAGCTACGGGTGTGACAGTCTCGTCAACGTGTAATTTCAACTTAAAGTCCTTAAGTTTTTTCAATTCCCTGAAAACATTCGGAATATTTGTTGCACACATCCTCGATTGTATTAAATGTCAACAACTTCAGTTCATTTGCTGTGTTTTTGCTCAATAATGCTGGACCGCTACCATCCAAAACGAAAACATCGTCTTGTATACAAACTCCGCCCTGTGACGTCATTGTTGTGGTAAACTTCCCCAGTAATGGTAATGGTTGTTTTGATCCTTACGAATACAACTTTTTGTTACTTTTTTCAGACGTACACTTAATGTTGTTTCTTTTTAGCTCCGCCCACAATGTTTTGTCAATGATGTTAACAGAAGCACCAGTGTCAATCAAAAAAAATTTTGATTATCCAGTTTTATGTGAACTACATCTTTTGCCGATGTTTTCGACCTCACTTGAAAAGCATATTCGTCATCTGAATCACACTCTTTATCAGATACTAAGGTATTTACCTTTTCGGAGTCCCTGTTCTTCCATTTTCAGTGACGATCATTTGCCGAAGAGTTATGTCCCTTTGACCGACCAGCATGTTGACCATTACGTGATCTGCATCGTGCTGCAAAATGTCCAACTTTGCCGCATGACTTACATTTCTGTCCGCGTGCTGGGCACTCACTATCACGTCCGAAGTGTCCTTCACGTCCGCAATTAAAACAAGTTTTAGGCTGACGTCTCCCTTTGCTTTTTGGACTTATTTTGTGAATTTCACCCGTTCTCGACGAATTTCCGCAGATAGAATTTTTCTCCATTTGCACAGCATGAGACTGTGACGTTTCCAGACTTTGTGCTATAGCCCTTAGCTGATCCAGAGTAAGATCCTGCCCTTTTTCTAACAAGCGTATTCTGAGCTTTTGTGATGCACATTTCTCGATAATCTGATCCGGTATCTGCTCATCCTCATTTCCAAAATTACAGAATTTGGCCTGTTGTTTAAGTTTCGTTATAAAATGATCAATACTGTCCGTTCCCTGCACCAAATTTCTAAACACATACCGTTCATATGGCACATTCACCTTTCCCTTGAAATATTTGTTTAACGCCGCTACTGCCGCCCTATAAGCTGAAACTTCCTCACCAGCGGGTTCACGATCAGGTAAGGTATAAAAAATGTCCTGCACCTCCGGTCCTGCACAGTGAAGTAACAACGCCGTTTTTTGAGCATCATTTGCTACCCCTTTTCCTGTCACGAACAGCTCAAATCCCTTCAGCCAGCGCTCCCATGTCTAACCCTGCCTGTCACCTCGAGGTTCGAACTTTTGCACACCATTCAGTTCGATTAATTGAGCCATGGCCGAAAATAACAGCAATACCCGTATAACAGCCCTTATGAGTATCCTCGTCGCCAATATGTAGTGTCGGTAGCCGTGAATAAACTAAAGATGCCCCAGATTGCATCTACCCTGGAAACCATCACAAAACACCCTGGCTTCGTTCCCTCATCTTTACTATCATAACTAATGACGTAATACACAACAAGGGGAATAACTCCCAGACAAACAGCATAACGCCTACAACTTTGAATTTCGATAAGTGTCGATTCAATATGCCGAATATCGAATTCATGGGTCACGTGTTATCGGAACACAGAATTGGCATGTCGAGCACCAAAGTAGAAGCCGTTTTAAACGCGAGACCACCAGAGTCTGCATCAGAAGTGCGTAGTTTTCTGGGTTTGGTGAACTTCAGTGGACGATTTATGCCAGATTTGGCGACAATTTCGGAACCTCTCAGAAAACTGACTCGGAAAATGTACCGTTCAAATGGAACCAGGAACAAGAAAATGCGTTTCATGAACTCAAACATCGTATTACGAATACCGATACATTCGGATACTATGATGTAGACGCGAAAACGAAAGTTGTAGCTGATGCACGTCCAGTAGGACTAGGTGCGGTATTACTGCAAGAGCAGGGGTCGCAATACACGCATTATAAGTTATGCGAGTAGGAGTTTAACAGATCTGGAGCGACGTTATTCTCAAACTGAGAAGGAAGCATTGGGGTTGGTGTGGGCCTGCGAGAAGTTTCACATGTATCTGGTTGGCACAGATTTTGAGCTAATAACTGATCATAAACCGCTCGAGTTTATCTTTTCGACAAGATCGAAACCATGTGCGCGTGTGGAACGCTGGGTGTTGCGTTTACAACAGTACAAGTATAAAGTTACGCACATCCCTGGGCCGAACAATATAGCAGATGTTCTTTCACAATTAGTCCAACAGTCGACTACCAAAGCGTCTGAAATAGACAACACAGAGGTGTACGTTAGATTTGTTGCACAAGAATCTACACCTGTTGCTATGACAACGAGAGAAATCGAATGCGAGTCAGAATTGGACGCGGATCTGTGCGACATTCGGAAATGTCTATTGTCTGGGAGGTGGTACGATGTCGATTGTAAGGAGTATTTACCGGTGAAACATGAATTATGTGCTATAGGATAATTAGTGTTGCGAGGCACTCGAGTTGTCATACCCATGTCATTGTGAGGCAAAGTGTTGGAGACCGGACATGAATTTCATCCAGGAATAGTTGTCATGAAGCAGCGTATGAGATGTAAGGTATGGTGGCCGGGCATAGACGGCGATATTGAAAAATTCTATAAAAAATGCTATGGATGTCAGTTGGAATCCATGCCAACGAAACCTAAGCCTATGGTAAGAACGGATTTATCTTCAGGGCCATGGCAACACATTGCTGCTGATTTTCTGGGACCACTACCATCGGGTGACAATATACTGGTTATAGTTGATTATTATTCTCGGTGGGTGGAAGTGTCTGTTTCAAAATCTATCACTGCTGAGAAAGCCGTCCAAAGTTTGAAACATATGTTTAGTACGCATGGATATCCACTATCTATTACTACGGATAATGGACCACAATTCCGTAGTGAGGTGTTTAATCAGTATATGGAGGAGGCAGGCATAGAGCATCATCACATTACTCCATTATGGCCCCAGGCAAATGGGGAAGTTGAACGTCAAAACCGGTCATTAATGACAAGGATCCGTATCGCACAAGTTGAAGGTCGTGATTGGAGGGAGGAATTAGAGACCTATCTATTTATGTACCGCTCTACGCCACAATCCACGACAGGAGTCAGCCCTGCAGAGCTATTATTCGGTAGGAAACTGAGAAACAAGTTGCCGGAGATATCGAATTTCCATGATGACGTCAATATTGAGGTACGCGATCGCGACGCGAAAAGGAAAGGACAAGGAAAGTTGTATGGAGACGCAAGACGAAACGCGATCGAGAGCGATGTGAACGTTGGAGATACTGTGTTGGTAAAGCAGCATCGCGAAAACAGGCTCAGTACAAAATTCAGCAAAGACCCAGTCAAAGTTATTGGGAAACATGGGAACTGTGTATGGCTGGACACTCCGAGAGGAACTTTCCAACGAAACGTAACACAAGTAAAAAGGTTTCAAGGACAGATTCAGAAATATCGACACAGCCGAATACGCCAATATAGACATTGACGCGCATGGACATGCTTTGACACCGACCGAAGTCAGGGTTGCGGAAGACAATGTTGAAATAGGAGTCCCACCTATCACTCCGAAACGTGTTGATCTCCCACAACAGAACCCAGGAGGTCGGGACGCGCTACTAGAGTGTCCAGTAAATTTGAAAACTTTATTGTTGGTTAATTGGGAACATTTATTCTAATATGTGTGATAAATATCCAGATTAATCTGTATTCATTATGGACTTGAATTGCAACTGTCAGAACTGATGATGTGTTTATTTTATAAGGCACATAGTTACATATTTACATAATCAGATGATGAAAATCATTTAGAATTATTGTCATGTCAAAGTAGTTGTTCAGAACAGTAATTTTCAAGATAGAACAATTTTTAAAATGTTATGTGGGTTTTAAAAATGGTGATATCAATAATATTATCATAACTGAGATTT